TACAGAGCGAGACAGAAAAGAATATCACAAACTGAGGTTTGATGTCTTTTTCATGGAGAACAAAAGAGGTTTGATTCTTTCACTTCAAGTTTAGCCTAACTATTGTGTAGTGGAGGAGGTTTAATGAATCATTGTTTAACTTTGATACTGCCAAGTATTTGACCATTAAATAGTTTGAAATGTGTACATAGCACTTTGGTGACAGACTCTTATTTAACTGTGATTAATTGGCATTAAATAGTTATTTAATTACTTCGGAAGAAATCTAAAAACAGTGCATGTTCTGATTAAGTTATTTGATGTAAAAACAAACATAGGACTGCTGAAGAGAGCACGTTCCCTTTTGCAGCTTGCTACTGACACTGCACACCACGTGGGAGCCTGAGAATGATTAAAACAGCAGATACTATTCACAAATTTGGATGCTGTTGTAACGCTGGCATATGTAGTTCTTGATTTCTTAAAAGACTGTTTTGTTAGTGGTTTCATGAAATTTCCTTTGCCTTACAAATTACAGATTTAGTGTTTTCTTTTTGCTTTTGAAGCCCAGACCAAAACTTGCTGGGTAAGTAAAGGGTACAGGTATTAGTGAACTTGAAAATTTTTGTAAACGGAAAATACTAGACTAGATCTAAGAATTATTGTCTCATGGCATCTATCTGTATCACAGAAATGCTCACTTAAGAAATTCGGGGGTTTTGGAAGTATGAAGTATTGTGGGAAGGTGATGTAGATAGTCTAAGTTTGGGAGAGAAGGATATTAGACATCTTGGAGAGAAAAATAATAAGTTTTTGGGAGGGTGCATTGTGTAGGTGCTGCCCTTCTTGAATAGTGGGTGCAACAGTTTCTTTAATCTGCAGAACCATCCCCAGAAGTTAGGTTTGGATATGCTAGTAGAAACAGTAGTTATAACTGTAAGCATTCTGAGTCCTGACTCAAAATGGCTGCTTTAACGTTCATATCTGGAATGTTTTCTCTTGCATGGTTAATAATGCATAAGCAAGCCACTGATTTACTGTGCTTCCAGTAAGTGGAAACAGTTGTTTCTTCATACCTTGCGAAATAGACCTCATTTACTTGTAGACATCCTTACAAATGTAGCAATCACTCTGGATGCAATATCATGATGGCTATGGGGCATTTTGCAGATATTTCCAAAGCACAGCACTACTGCTTGGAGGTGCATTGCTGTCTCTGGTATATGGTGAGGGAACTTGCTTTAGTGGAGGACTGTAGTCTGCTTCTGCACAGGAGATGCTGAATAAAATACCCGTTCAGTTATATCTGTATGAACAGGGTCTGAAATACATCTCCAGGCCTCTGTTTTCTCTGATATAATCACTGGGGTAATATCATTGAAAACCAGGAACAGCAAAAATAGGGCTAAGGCTTGTGGCTTTGTCACTTGCTTTTAGCAGTAGAAAAGCATTAATGGTCACTGGATTAACATTACAAGAGGGAGATGTGGACCCCTTATCAAGAAGTGAGGTATTTTCCTAGGCTTAATGACTTCAGGTGTCATTTACCAGAATTACTATGTGTAAAAACTAAATAGGCCATTAATGACTTTTTTCAGTAACTTGAAAATTCAAAAAAATTTAAATTCTGTTACCAGAGATTCACCTGAATGCTATTTTGGCAAATGGCTGATTCACATCACCACTTTTAAATTGTTTTAATTGTATCAGGTAGACTGTAAAAGGTTCCAGTTTTCAAAGTTTGTCTTTTTGATATACCATTTCTTTTGCTCACTCATATTTTAGTTCATGTCATTTTACAGAATTACTGTATTTACATTTTAAAGAAGATTAGGCAGATTAAAAGATGTATTCATGTTTTATTGATAATGTCAGATTAATTTCCACTTTCGTAGTGGCAGCTCACAGCTCTGTCAAAACACAGTCTGTAGAAACACCATTATACTTAACAATTTCATAAGGCAATTGCCAAAAGTACATTTTTGGCAATTAATTAGCAGCGTGATTACCAATGGGAACTGGAGCAGTTGGTAGTTACTGGGTATACAAAACAAACAAGTAAGACTAGAGCACTACCAAGGCCAGCTCAAGTGGGATAAGTTTTCCTTCATGACCATGTTCCTCAAAGAACTTCACTGGAAGAGGTGTTACTGTTGCTCTTGGTATGCAGGATAAAGGCAGGTATGCTGCAGCTCTCATTTAATATTTGTGCCAGCTTTTTATTCCTGATAGCTCTGGGACAGATACGTATCATATTTTCAGCCTAAAGCTTTCGTTGTTGCAACACAAACTTTCTCAAGGAATGGTTGGAGGTTGTCACAGCCTCCTGTTGATCTTTTCTCCCTGGTATCCCATGATAAGACTTGTGGAAATGGTTCAAAGTTGCAGCAGGGGAGGTTTAGACTGGACATTAGGAAGCATTTATTTACTGAGAAGAGTGGTCGAACACTGGAATAGGCTTCCTAGAGAGGCGGTCGATGCCCCAAGCCTGTCAGTGTTAGAGGCATTTGGACAATGCCCTTAACAACGTGCTTTAACTATTGGTGAGCCCTGAATTGGTCAGGCAGTTGGACTAGATGATTGCTGTAGGTCCCTTCCAACTCAAATTATTCTATTCCTATTCTATTCTATCCAAAACCCAGACTCAAAATCTGAAAAATTCCTCCTTGAGCAACTTTTAATGGGTGAGTCTTCAATAGAAATCTCAAGGAAGGGAGATGAAAGCTGAACTCCAAGATACTGCTGGAACTGAAATGACCCGAGAGTTAAATTCCTTTCGACAGCAGGCATTTTGTAATGGCTTCTCTCTTGTAGCCCTTAAGGCCTTGTCCATACTGTACAAAGTGAGAGTAAGCACAGTGCATGAACAAGTTCAGATCTGTTTTTCTGCTTGTGGGGTGAGGGAGATCGTGAAGGCGTTGCTTGATTCCTGGAGGTGTTGTCGTTGACCTGACCTGCACTATGGCCATGGATAGTAGCCAGCCTGAGTGACCTTGCTGCCTCCTGGTAGTGTCACGTGGGATGGCATTTACGCAATAGCTTCTTATATCAGTCTGAAACCACTACAAATAAAACTTATTTGAGGTTAAGAGGCAAAGGGCAGTTCTGAGGCTGAATTAAGGTGAGATTTCCTTGCTATGGGAATAATCTTTTGCCCTTGTGTACTGCTTGTAATTGGTGGGTCTCACAGTGTTTCATGGAGGGACTGAGCACTGTCACTTCTCCTTGTTCTGCTCTTCACTCTGTAAAATAAAGTTAAGTCGCTCAGGAGGCAAGTTGCAGAGCTGTGAAGAGATTGCTGATATCCTGAGCCCAATCCATTATGCTGCCTTGTTTCCCCTCATCTGCCGCTTCTAGACAGGCCACTAAGGAAAGCCCTGTCAGAAGGAAGCATTTAACCACTTTAAGTGATTTTTCTTTTGGCCAGTGAAATAACATGGAATGTGATATTTAGGGATAATACGAAGTCTTAGCTACAGCATGCATGCAGTATGTGATAGATCACTCTTTCATGGCCAGTTTCCATGTAAGAAAATGACAGGAAAAGGAACTTTAAAAGTTGCCTTGAAGTTCCTCCTGATGTGTATCTACCCCAACATGAAATAAGTGAAAAGGAACGCTCCCAGCTGCCATTCTCAGTAGACACAGATGAAAGAGATTTTGCTGAGTCTTGTGCTGCTATATACCATTCCTCTCTTTGTGCAAAGCCAAAAAATAGGATGAATTCTACTGTTGATCTGCCTTAAAGTAACTGGTAGTAAAGTACTGCAGAATAAGCTGTTTGCCACCAGTATCTCTATTTGCAATCATGTTCCAGGCTTGAGGAGAGGATGTTTTGCATGTGGATGTGGAACAGAAATTCCCTTGAAAAAAAAAATTGGTGTTATGCAATGAAATTCGTAATTCTGAGACGGCTGTGAACAGAAAACTAGAATGATGGTTGCTACAGAAGTTACTTCAGAAGCTCTTATCTCTGAATTACGTCTCCAATGCACTCCATGGAAACTTTAAACTTAACTACTTTCAGTTTAATGAGCTCCTTTGAAAACGAAAAAAAACCCCATAGTCTTTTGTTGCCAGTGCAGTGAATGTGTTTGTACCAGTTAGAAGTAATAAGTGAATCAAGATATATGTAGATAAAAAAGCAATGTGAATGCATGTACAGGCATTACACACCTTAGAAAAGGACACATTTCTATCCTTAGCTTAGTTTCTTTCCTGGTGAGTAGAGATATTGATTAACAGAGAGAGATACTAATCCACTTATGGGTGGCAGTGTTGTGACTTTAATTATTAAAGAACTCCTGCTATAACTGATTTTTTCACTCAAGTAGAACTTGGGAAAATAGAGAAGTGTAAATGCTTCACTGACCGCAGATTAAAAATTGTTTTATTAGCTTTAATAAAGATCAGTATTGTCAAGGTTTTGAATAAGTATAAATGTAAGGCTGCATGAACGTGAATCTTTCTCAGATTTTATTTCAGAAATGCCTGCACTTTGAATCCATGTATAATAGTGGAGGAGTGGGAACATAAATACTAAAAAGGATCGGTTAGATCAGCTATGATCTATCTGGGACATGAATGCACTAGTGAGTTTCAGTCAAGGATAGGAGCAGATTCTGGTTGATGTTACTTGATGAAACTTGCATTAAGTTGTCTGAACTGTAAACCTTTACCTACACATGTTGAGCATCTCAAGCATGTTTGTTTCACCTGTTAAATTCTATTGAACTATTATCTTCAAAGCCCCTTTTAATTTTTTTCCTAGCAGTTTAGGTAAAGGTTTTATATATGGGTGAAAAGCATCTATAAAAAAGTATTCTTCTTCAAAATATATTGCAGTGGTTGTAAAAGATTTCCTTCATGGTGATTTCAAAAACTGGTTTTTTTTATCTTTAGATTCCAGCTGTTTCCTTTTAACTGTTACTAAAATGGTAAAACATGGTGTGTTTAAGATATTTGGATCTTTTCAGGAATTATATTTACTTTCTTTTTCTTCTCTAACCCTTTTTCTGTAGGAAGAATCTTAAATCGTTTCTCCAAAGATATTGGCCACCTGGATGACTTGCTTCCATTGACCTTTTTGGACTTTGTGCAGGTAATACGGTTGCTATTGTCAAGACTTCTGCACTGCATTCTGAATTTAGATTCCTGTACGCTTTGGTGAAGATCAGCTATTTGTCACAGATACAGCTGAGTTGAATGAAACTACTTGTTTGTGTAAGAAAGGTGCGGTTGAAATTTAATGTGTCAGTAAAAAGCTAACATGAGTAATAACTGGCAGGTAGGAGTGGTTATACACAGCTTGCTATTATGTCAAGATTTCAGTTCATAGTAGCTACATGCTTGGTAAATTGCTCCTGATTTGCCTTTAAGCAATCTGGCAAGCTTATTGCTGTTACAAGAAATATGTCCATAGTAAAGAAACAATCAACTCACATGAAAAGATAGCAGAGATTAACCTAATTATGTGTCTACTTCCACAAAGAATCAAATGCTTACCACACCATTTTGGATTAAAATAGGTGTGGCTATTTACAAAGAAAAGATTAGTAGTAATAGGGTGAATATAATAACCTTAATAGGAACAAGTGAAATAAGTTGCTGCAGACAAGAAAGATGGACAAAGCACTGAGATTTTGATTATGATGAGAGGATAAAGGATTATATATGACATCAAGGTAATTCTTCTGTTGCAGTTACTATTAATCCCCCTTGTAAAAAATTGCAGAAGGATAAAGCTGCAAGAAATTGATTGTACTGTATGAAAATAACATGAATCACAGAATACACAGAATCATGAAGACTGGAGAAAGAAAAGGCGTAGTGTATCATCTGGATCCTCCACTTAGTGGATCGGACCTGTCATGCTCGAGTCAGAAATGTTTCTTAAGTTACTATTGCTAACTCTGCTTCATCTCTTAGCGATAACTTACTCAGGATCTAAACCTTGTCTTGACTTTAAAAATAAACCAAAGACATTTTGGGTTGAGCAGTTTAATCATGTTGTTTATGCTGGACTCTTGAAAATAGGAAGAAAAAAAAATATTCCAAGGAGTTAGTACACTTTTTAAGATAGTCTTTTTCTTAGTTTTGTGAAGTTGTATATACCCCATAAAGGTATATGGGTTTTTTTTCAAAGCATTACAGTGTCACATGTCGTTTTGGGGAAAAAAGGAAGGTGCTGTATTTTACCTACAAATTAAAGCAGTTGGAGTTTTTTGTGAGTTATAGAGTTGCTTATAGTGAATATTAAGATTTTGAATTCATGGGCTTTTAAGGCCCTGACAAATTCTTTCCTGAAAGTGCAATATAAACATACTTCTATAATATACTACTCATTTTCTACTGTTTATACAGATTCAAAATTTTCTTCTGTCTCATTAACTGGGGCAATACATGTGTGCCTTTTTTTTTTTTTTTTCCCTGGAAGTTCAGGCTGTCCTGAAATCCTTATCTTCTTCTTTTAGCATAGGATTTACATCCACAAAGTCAAAATCATCTTTTCGGCATAGTGGTTCTTGGCCGTTAGACCAAGCAATGCAGAGTGTTTGTATTTGTCCTCTTTACAGCAGACTGTGCTGTGTATGTTCATTCTATATACTGCTCATGGCCAGAGCATCCTCTGGGTCCAGTGGTCTTCAGATGAAATGATTAACTATTCTCCTTATTCCATGCATTTACAATAATGTGGGAGTTGTGTTGCAGCCCACTTGCGTGTTTTGGTTGGTTTTTTTTTACAGTAAGAAACTGAGTGAGTTTCTTACTAGCATGTTATTTAAAGGCATGTGGGTTTGTCGGAGGATGCAAAATCTGCTAGGAAAATGTTAGAGAAGTCTGTGTAAGCAGAGGGAGCCAAAACTGGTGTGGTCTTGTCCATACTTCCTTTTGGGAGCAGACCCTGAAGCAAACAGTCTTGAGAATTACACTCTCCCTTCTTCTGAGGGAACCAACTGGTTTGTTCCTAAAGAAGACTAAGGAAGAAGGTAACCTGTATGCATGGCACATACAGAAGACCAAATCATCTAGTAGCAAATTGGAAAACCTGGTTATTTGACCATCATGTAGATACTTTGGGTAGTATATGCCTTACCTAAACTTAACTGATCTAGGTTGAAAGAATGAAGTCTGTTGCTCTAGATGCAATTGTTCTTTCAAGCTCCTACTGTAAAGCACATTTTGTAAATGTGCCCCCTCATGGTCATTACTTAGTGATTTTCTTTTACATTGGCTATTGAATAATTTGTCAAATTCTGAAGTTTGTATTCTAAATAAAAAGTTTTCCTTTTCAGAAAAGTAAAATAGATGTTACAGGTCTAGTACACTGTTAAAAAGATGCTGTGTTTTAAAGCTTGCCTGTTCTATTTGGCATCAGAAAAGAAAATTTAGGAACTTATTGTTGATTAACAGTGCAGTGCTATCCATAAGACAAAAGCACTTCCTTCTTGGCAGGTTTTGTAAAACTTAATATTCTTGATCAGCAGGCTTGTTGGTTAGTGGATGCCTTTTGAAATTCAGTAGCAAAGATACAATATTTATTTCTGAAGAAGCACAGATTTTGACAAAGGATAACTGTTATCAATTATGATAGAGACCTTTTGTCACTTGTTTTGTTTGCAGGTGTCTTTTATACGACTTCCTATAATCTCTTCAGGAAGAAATATTTTCTCCTTTCTAAAAACAGTATTAGCTAAATATAAAAGCTCTGATCCCAGCCATTGTTGCTGATTCTTTGAGAGACATTTCCCAACATTCATTGTTTAAATGGTTGTCAGGAGGAATCAAGTGAAACTTAATAAACAATGCAGTAACTGGTTCATTTTACTTTGTGTGTAGAAGCTTTTCTTGAGCGGATTTGCATTGAAGAAGTGGTCCTTTTTCTGAGTTATTGCTAGGATCGTTGTGAAGCATTCCACCCTTTTACTATATTGGCAAGTGAGCGTGAGCGTATGATTTCTGCACAAATATACACAATGTGATTGGGCACTCAGAAACTACAATATGAACCAATTTACCTATAAATAAATTGTTAAAATCTACTTTTGAGAATTTTGTAGTTACACTGAGTACAGATTTTACAGCAATGCTAAAAATTTGTAATGTTCTTTATAGAGTGTCTAATAAGATTTATACACTGCACTACAGTCATAATGAGCATGATTAGTTTAGACAGCTATACTGGATGAAAATTAATTCCTTGAACTAAAAGAGTTGAATTTTTTACATCTTCTATCAACTCAATAAAGAAGAAAGAGTCAGTTCTCTTCAAGACAGTGGCTAGTTACTGTACACTTATTTGTTAAAGCAAAAATAAAAAGTATGTGGCAGGCACAAAAATGCATCATAGACCTTGTGTATTCTTCTGGAAACCTGGCTAGATTTTGCAAAACTGTTGCTTTGCAATAGCTCCCAAAGTAGAAGCTCTCACTTCATTTAAAGTTTCCTGCCATCCTTTCTTTCTCTGGCTTGCTTTGGCACCAAAATGTAGCACACCTGTCTTTGAAGAGATTGGGGGCAAGAGGGGCAGTCCTCACTAGGAGGAGCCAGTCATTTTTTTCTTCTTATGAATTTTAACAACGTATGAGACGTGTCATGTTAGTGGAGCTGACTGTCTTTTTGTAGAAATTACTGCTGTATCTGCAAGAAATGTAAATAAAAAAATAAATCTTTCTTATGGGAACACATTTATGGCTATGTTTGACTACATGGCTGTTGAACAGAACTTTGTAGGTAGATGTGAAAGTACAGAAACTGAAAAGAAACTAAAGATTAAGTTAGGCACTTCAACTGAGATATTTTTAATTGTATGTTTACAGTGCAGTTCAAAGCTCATTAAAGTAAAAAATAAACTTTACAGTCTGCAGTCCAAGCCTGGGCCTTATCTTCTGTAATGGATTCTAGCTGACCATAAGGTTCCATACCAGCTCTCCTAAAACAAACAAACAAAAAAAAAACAAACCAAAAAAAACCTCCAAACAAGCAAACAAAACCCACCAAAAAGACCAACTCAATGCTATGTTAACAATGACACCTGTTATTTCTGCTAAATACAGCACTAAATATGTTTGTAAAATCAGGTGGTAATTAACATTAGTAAGTTGATTCAGATAGTCGAAAAGCTGAATTAATTTGGTGAAGGTGGTGGTTTTGGGGGTTTTCTTTTGAGCTCATATATTTTTAATTACCTGCCTTAGTACTGTTAGCCCTCCTTAGCCTCAGTTCTGCATCTCGCTTGTTTTTTCGGTCCTGAGTTACATATTTTTGGCAGGTGTTTTCCAACTAAGTTACAGTCTCCTCAGGTAAAGGACTACTTTTGTGAAGACAATTACAGTGCCTTGAAACTTTCTAAGAGGATTTAAACATCTACTTCATTTAGATACGCGTGTTTTATTTATGTATTTGTTGGTTTAATCAAAGGGCAGACCTGACAGCAGCCTTAAAGGGCTACCCAAACACAAATAATTGCAGAAATTCTTTCTTTAGTTGATAGGTACTTGATCATCCTGTAAATAAGTCCAAAGGGACTTAAGGAAGTCAGGTGCTGTTTAAGATGACAGGGATTTTGTTACTGAATTTTCTTAGGTACCTCTGAAAATACTAGCTGATGTACTCAGTGTTATAACAAATTGTTGTTCCTCCTCCTGCCTTAAGCTCTGTGGGAGTACAAAGTTCTGTTGGTGTGGAATTCACTGATAGGGGTGCAGGGCTTGTAGTTTAAAATGTTGTGGTTAAAATGCATAGCGATGTCTAGCTCAATGCAGTGCTAAGAAAACACAATCTACTAATCTGGGAAAGGTCATCCAATGACTACAATAAAAGAATTAAACGGGGAAGTATTTGGAATTAAGAATCCAATACATTTAATAGAATTTTGTGTACATTAGCACCAGATACTCCTAAGTAGACAGTGTTTTGGATGCTGTATTTTTGAGAGCTCGTCAAAAGGCTTGTTTTTCATACCTGAATCTCACTTTAACTTGAGACTGATCTGCAGAATGGGTACCCAAACTGATAAAACTACTGGGTGAAAATTATATCTATAAACTGATTTGAATACATAGGACAGTGAAAGATATTTCAGACTTTCTTTTGGGTTTG